AATGTGTATGTGAACCCGGTCTTTGGGTGGGTGTTTGATTTTCGTTGTTGTGTATACTGTGTATATACGGACAATGACAATAAATTTATCTAATCACCTAACTAGTCCAGTCAGCAGAAGCCCTACATAACAGGGCTCCCCTGCCACCTGCAATTGGCTTGGGATGGGAGAACCCTCAAAAAAGCAAGCAGGGAGAGGGGAGGGGTAGTGTTCTGTCTGGCAAGCTGAAATACTTGCACAGAGGAAATGATTGGAAGAGTAACATGTTGAATTGCACCCTGAGTGGAGACCCTTCTCCATGCAATGATCTGACATTTTATGGGGAAGCATCTGAATGATGCAACCACAGGAGCAGGTCAGATTACGTGGGTCTTTCTCATAGAGTTGAAGTTCTTAATGGGAGAGGGTATGATTCCATGGGGAAAACCTGTATGTTTGTAACAGTGCGAGATCACTTTGCATGCTCGCACACAAGCAGTTACAGGTAACTCTAAAATACGGGCACTGAATAAATTGAGATGTTCTACAACTGTCCGTGCTCTACCTTCTGTATGTAAGTGCTGCGATTCTTTGGCTATCTCTGCTATGAGATTTAAAATAAAAAAAACAAAAATCCAGGTTCACAGGGGCCTAATAAACATTTTCATAGATTAGTGTGATTATCAGGGGACTACTTTTAGTATTTTGGGCACAGGACCACATGATCTAGATGCTTAAAGTGATTGTTGATTAAACTTTAAATATATGTGAGGACTGATGGCCTAGGCATTTGCTTAAGAATCAGCCTTATTTTTCCTTCCCCTACCTGTTTCTAGAAAGAAGGGAAGTTACCCATCACTCAGAACAGGGCGTTGCAACTCTTGTATGATCTTCGGTATCTGAATATAGTCCTGACAACTAAGAGTGAAGATATGAAAGGCAGCAGAAACAAGCAGGATTCCAGGTATAGTGCTCTGTCGAGAGTTGAGTGTTTTCAACGGTGGGTTTATTTTTTACTCCCTTTGCAAACCTCAAAATGTTACTGCATCCTTTGTGCTCCAGTCACCTTGTACTGATATATCAGTGTGTATGTGAGGCTACACGTAGGGCTAGTAGGCTCAGACTTGCTTGCCTAGATATCTCAGCTATTTTCTCTCACCTGTGCAGAGCTGAATCTAGGTAATTTAACATTTTCCTACCAGCTGTGATTGTAACCACTACTTACTAAAAGTCAGTGCTGTTCATGGATTGATAATAAATTACGCTGAAGGGATAGGTTATACACTTTTGGATGCAGATCAGTCCATAGCTTAGGGCAGGGATACAAGCAGATGAGGCTGGCTGGAGGAAAACCAAGCAAACCTGTATCTCACTCTTTCCATTTGCAGAAAGAAGGAGCACTAGAAGAGGGCCCACAACAGCAATCATGAGTAGCAAGATGCTCCCCAAATTCTGTAATCTGTGCATAAAGTTTTGTAACAGAACAATTCTTAAATAAGGAGCCATTTAACAGAAATCCTTGTCAGAAATCTTGCAGATCTGTACACACAGGGCACAGCAGTGATTCCAGAAAGGGGGACAGTCTCAGTAGTTTCAAGGAAAGGTTACATTAAGGCAGCTTGTTAGAAACAGGGCAACTTGCTATATAAAATGTATTTGGAACATTTTAAGTTATTCCTCTGGCTTGTAAGGCATCAGTTCAACTGTAACCGGAAACCAGAATTTAGCTTTAAAAATGTTAAACTCTGTTCTCATTGCATTAATGGACTTTTAAATAGCTCAGCACAGGATCCTGTTAATCATTCCATTACTATGGTTGGAAAATGATTGAATGCCTGCTTTTTTTGTTTTCAAAATGTATCTCTGTCCGATATAAGCATTACTCCCTCTGTTTCAGAATTGAGAAAGAGATAGACTTTCTGGAAAGTTATATAGATCCCTTCGACTTGGATGTCTTTACACCACATTTAAACAGCAACCTTAATCGTCTGGTGCAGCGGACCTCTGTAAGTTCAGGCAAAAGAACATAACTGTTGCAATTATGTTTGGCTACTGTACTTAAAGATAGGGTGCTTTACTTGGTAACACATAGAAATGGTCTTTTGCACTTTGTTCCTTAGCAATTCATAGAACCAGTACAATAATGAAAACCAAGGGGGAAAGGGTTGTGTATGTATACAGTTGGATGTATAAGCATGTAAGCACATTTTAGGGTATACTTTGATCATGCAGTCCAATAGTTCTCAATTATTTGCAGCACTCAGAATCAAAGCATTGTTTGTCTCCCGAATAACCAAAACCAAAAATATCCCATGAGATTGTATGGATTTTATCCTTGGAAGTTCATGCCTCATAGTAGGCAAACACCTATCCCCAAGTGATATAAAAGTGAACCTGAAATCCTGGGGGAGAGGGAAACGTTTGTTTTAAACACACATGGCCAGGTTGACAGTTGAGTTTTCCTTGTGTTTGTTTAAGGGTACCAGACAGAGGGCCTTCTTGGTAGTGGCACCTGCCCTGTGGAATGCCCTCCCTTCAGATGTGAAGGAAATAAACAGCTATCTTCTCTTTAAAAGACATCTGAAGGCAGCCCTGTTTAGGGAAGTTTTTAATATTCAGTGCTGTATTGTTTTTAACACTTGATTGGAAGCTGCCCAGAGTGGCTGGGGAGACTCAGCCAGATCGGCGGGGTATAAATAAGAAATAATAATTATTATTATTACTTCTTTGCTGCTTTCCAATCTAATAAATCCTATTTCTGGTTCACTGAGCACTTGGCAGTTACATCTACAGTGGTACCTCGGGTTAAAAACTTAAATTTGTCCCAGATGTCCGTTCTTAACCTGAAACTGTTCTTAACCCGAGACACCACTTTAGCTAATGGGATCTCCCGCTGCCGCCGCCACACGATTTCTGTTCTCATCCTGAAGCAAATTTCTTAACCCGAGGTACTATTTCTGGGTTAGCAGAGTCTGTAACCCAAGGTACCACTGTACTGCCACCACAACCAAGCAATTACCTTTTTCTGTGCTCCTCTAGGTCCTGTTTGGCTTATTAACAGGGGCAGAGAATCAGTACACCAGCCGAAGCAGTAATTTAACTTCTCAAGAATTACATAACATCCTACCTCTAGCATCTAGTCAAATCAGGTAAGTGACTCACGCTATAGGCAATAGGAAGTCCGTGAAACAAAGCACGTGGGGGTGCAAAACATCTTACCACTTTTTTCTTTTTTTCAGATTTGGGCTGTTGCCACTCAGCATGTCAAGCTCACGCAAGACTAAATCAGCTATGAGAAACACTGAACAGAAGGCTCAGGTTTGTTCCTTTATTCTAGCTTATGGTTTTCTCCACTCTTGCCAACTGTTTAGTTGCACTGGTAATGGTAATGTTAATGCTAATATTTTCCTAGGGAGCCCAGGGTGCTGTTGTTAGTTTTTTAAAAAAATATATCAGAAACTCATGCCACAATTTCCTTTGGACACTGAAGGAGTAGCATATACTTTTCTAGGTTTGAAGATGAATTAGTTAAATAGTCTGTCAAATTGTGTATAGGAGTCGATAACAACATTAGCATATATTGTTAGTACAGACTTGCACATTGACAGCTTATCTCTAATAATAGTAAGGTATATTAAAGGAGTGATTAATCTAACTGTCTTGTACCCTTCATTCTAGTATGCTGACCAAGTAACCCCTGAAGAAATCTTGCTGGGGTATTAATGCATGTGTGAATTGAGTGGCTTCCTCTCCTTTGTAGGCTTCTGTGCTAAGGCTTGCTTATGTAGCTATAGAACTTGATAGCTGCTGTCAAACTTACCAAGTTTACATATGAGAAATTGACTGCATACTAGCAGCTGGCATGGGTTTCCTTCTGTATTGCCATGCAACTACACCCTAGAAGCTGCTGCAGGGAAGGGTGGACAAAGAGGTCTCAAGTTCTCAGTATGTAAAGAAATTCACATCTTAAATATCAGAAGCATCTGTTGCTATGGCGGGGTTATGTTTGGACATATGTTGCACATACATTTTAATGAACCTAATTTTAGACTAAAATGAACTGACTGGTAATGTAAGACACTACTACATAAGCAAAACTGCCTCCCTTTCTGCTTGCCATTATGATGCTCCTTCCCTGTAGGAATAGAGTAAGCCTTTCAAAATAAGGGAAAACTACTACTGTAGGTAAGAAAATGGACTTAACATGTCTGCCCGCTTACCTAGGAAGTTATTGATGGTTGCCGTAAGTGGAGTTGGGAGTAGGAGGCACTTTGAGCAGCAGACTGTGTGTTTCTGTGTCTCAAAAGCCTACAAGGGAAGTGTAAAATTTCCTGAACACTCCAAAAGGCTTCAAGGCAAGGGTGACTGTTTCTACAGTTCTCTCTGCTACACAGAGAACTGCACCTATTAACCCCCACCCCAGTCTGGTTTTATGTAGCTACTAATGAGCCTGCTCTGAATGCAAGCCAGCTTAAAAAGGAAGAAAGCCTAGGAGGTTACTGACTTTCTTTTGCTAATTTAACAGATCCCAGCTGCTGCCCTTCTAAGAGCAGAAGAGACGTTCCGCCCTGGCTCCCTGTTCAGGCAGCTTGCAGCTGAGGAGGAGGACACAGCAGCACCATCTTTATTTAAACTTGGCTGGCTCTCTAGCATGACCAAATGATTCAATAAAATGTGAATGCTTGTACTTTTGGCATTGTAAAAAGCATCTACTTCAGCATAACTTAACGGAGTGGAATTTAAGTTTTGGTACTTACTGCCAAAGAGACTGGACCCTTTCTTAGGTAACTTGAAGCTATTAACAGAAAACATCTATTTTATAGCTGTTAGGTATTAAGAAACCATAAGCAATGAAATGGTTACTATTGGTTTTGAGTACAGTAAGAAAACAAATGTTCACACTCCTGTTTCTACTTGAGTAAAGCTGTTTTCCACTTAGTACATTTACACTGAGAAACCTTACTAGCAGTATTTTCAAATAACCTTAATGCACATGAACATTCAACCTTAGGAAATATTAATTTACCATAAAAACATATTCACTATTTATTGAAATTAAAAAAAGACTTATAAAACTGAACGCAAATGTTTGAAAGGATTTTACATAAAGCATCAGTTACTAATGAACAGATTAAGAGGTCAGACTGGACTTATTATGCACTCCTATTATACAGAAGTGGATTCTCAGACCCATCATGACATGTCAAAAGATATCCACCCTCCATCCCTCCCCCAAAAGAATCCTATAAAAATTGCTCCAAAGCCCCTTTTGCATTGCAATAGTGCAGCAAACCACAAGTAAACAATTGCCTGTTAACCTGTTATTCCAAATACAGACTGAAAAGGCAACAGGCATTTTGTGCAATTTTAACAAACTTTTAAGTTGAAATATCCCCATCACACAGTGCCGTCCCCCTTCACAGAAGGCAGGGAACTGCTAGGCTCATCATGTGGGAGGACGGCCCCTGCTGTGTAAGCTATGGAAGTGCGCCTCCTTCAGGATCTGGTTGATGTGGAAGTAAGGACCTTGGCATAGTGCAGACTGCTCATGGAAAGACTGAGGAGGGGTCACAGGACTTGATCCTGGCATTATGTGGTGTAGGCTGCTTTCCGGCCCACTAGCTCTGTCAGGGCTGCTGATGCTGCTACTGCTGCAACTACTGGTGCTCCCGCTCTCGCTGCTGGAGGACTATGGAACAGAAGATTGACAAGAATGAAAGTCATCTTTTAAGCCATTGTTATTTACACATCTCAAGTAGGTATTTTTTCTGGATAGGGCTCCCTTCTGTTAGCTGAGTAACCTGATCATCCTGTTCTCAGTGAACTCCGTAGCTGACAAATTGCATATTCAGCTGTGCTAATAGCCATAAACACATTTAAATAATCTAACATTCCTTTGCGAATTCCCCTATTCACTAAAAAGGGCACAAAAGGCTGCATCTTCACATACCCCAAATATTACCCTATTGCCTGTTCCAAAGATCATTTATAGGCATTTCAATTTTGCTCACTCTGAAATAACCATCTTGCTTGAATTAGTGCATTAACCCATTCTACAGGAAATGCAAAAAACCCACAATGTAGCCTCAAGTCTCCCAAGTAGTGTTCAGATCTTTCCATCACTTTATGCACAAAACAATCTGCATTATGTTTCTTGTATAAACAAGGCTTGCTCTTGGAGGAAGGAAATGCCCATTTCACTGCAAGTTAGTCGTGCATCACATGGACAGACACTGAGTCCGTACCAGGGTGAGAAATTGGATCTGGCCAACTAGCCAGATCATTTTCTTCCCCCTACCCCAGCAGAGCTACCCACCTGATGTCAGGTGACCTGTTCTTCCTGCTACACTGTCTGAAATCGGCCAATCAGTTGACCATCAGTGCTTGCAAAGCCCTGTGCACAGTGGTGCCCACAGAACTCCTTTTGGCTTAGCTGCATTTTTAGCTGCCCCCAACCTCATATACAGAGGCTTCATGCACTAAATAAGGAAGCCTGATAGATCAGAGCTTCCCCACTGCTGGTGTATACACACACCTATTATCTTTTCAGCCTACTTCACGCACCTGGTTTAGCAAATTCTGGCCTACTGCAGCTCCTCAAAAATTTAATTGCCATATTTATTCCTGCAGTATCATACTTCTATGCTTCCTACAATCACAGTGTTTTTACAGTACCTTTGAAACAAGTACTGAACAGTTGAACTAAGTACTGAATGGTAAGCCTGCAACTTACATGCATTTAAATTGTGCACATTCAGCTTTCACATGTGGCAAAAAACAACAACAGAAAATTAAAAAGTGGACAGAGTTCTGGGGAAAATGACTTTGGCAATCCTACCTGCCATTGAACCCATTGGGTTTTGACTATACACGGTTTTGGCTTTAGGCGCAACCCCCAGAACATAACCCCTGCATAAGTTGCAGGCATACTGTACAGTAGAAAGGCAATTGCTAGGCAACTTATAAGTTCATTTATAGCAGTGTACAGTTCTGTATAATACAATGCAAATGATGTGCCCATGCACCTGTATCTAAAAGCAGACCAATGTTTCTATATTGTATAGCTCCATGGGCAATTCTACCAAACAAGGCACACTTCAAGGCACATTTCAAGGGATTGAAGAATTACACACACCCAAACATAAATACACAAAACCTGCTTAATTTGGGCTCTACGGGCCTGGGATCAGAAGTTAAGTTCCAGCATATTAAACCCTGAGTCATTATGACACTTAGTATAAGCTTGTCTCATAGTGTTGATTTCTGAATAGAAGCCCTGAATACACCAACCACAAGATTTTTACGTTGAATTCAAGAGCGTAGCTGAACACAAAAACTAGTGGTGCCTTACAAAAATGAGCAGCATTTGGAAAATGATAACATTACCAGCTGCACTGTGAATTACAGATTTTTTAATTGTGTTAATTATATTTAAAATATGAAGTACTAGTAAGGTAAAGGTACCCCTGCCCGTACGGGCCAGTCTTGACAGACTCTAGGGCTGTGCGCCCATCTCACTCAAGAGGCCGAGGGCCAGCGCTGTCCGAAGACACTTCCGGGTCACGTGGCCAGCGTGACAAGCTGCATCTGGCGAGCCAGCGCAGCACACGGAACGCCGTTTACCTTCCCGCTGGTGAGCGGTCCCTATTTATCTACTTGCACCCGAAGGTGCTTTCGAACTGCTAGGTTGGCAGGCGCTGGGACCGAACAACGGGAGCGCACCCCGCCGCAGGGATTCGAACTGCCGACCTTTCGATCGGCAAGTCCTAGGCGCTGAGGCTTTAACCCACAGCGCCACCTATGAAGTACTAGTTCTGCATATATGTAACTGCCAGCAAGGGGAAGCCCTGGTTCCATTGTAAGTTGAGTGTTTAAGCTGCTCTACCCTCACTTCACGATTATCTCATTGAGTTCTACTGCCCAGTAGGAAATAGCTAAAGGGAAGAAGACCAAGGACAAAATCAGAAATGTTTGAACAATCTTGGCACTATATAGACATCATGTTATTTCTGTTCCTGATGCTACACTTGAATGTGATCACATTGTAAGAATATTTTATAAGTCACTATGAGAGCTTCTTAGAGCTTGAAAGCAGGATGTAAGTATTCTAAATCAATTAATGAATATATACCTCACATCTCTATTTAAACACTCATGGTTTCTGAACCAACTTCAAAGGCAGGATCAAGGTCTTCCTCACAGTAACCAAATCGGAACTGATCATCTGGACATATATCTATTGCTTGAACACTCCCCATCAGTTGATTATACACAAATTCCCAAAGCAATACCAACTCAGCAATGAAGTGGAGCACATCTTACCTCTGTATCCCAGGAGTCATGAAAAACAGCATTTTGGCTACTGCGTTTTGTTTGTGGGATGTGGACATCCTCCTCTATGCCATTTCGTCTCCTCTTCCTGAAACAAACAATGCAAGAACAGCAGAGATTAAGTGTCATTCCTTGTACCTAGCACACTTTAATAAAAAACAATGTTACAGCTCCTGCACTAATTACCAACAACTAGTTTAACTGCTTTGCAGTGTTTACATTTTTCTTCAGCTGCCCATTTTAGTAAGGAGTCAGACATTAAACCCAGAAGAGATCAGCATCAAAGGATGTAGTTCAACCTGAATTAATTGACGAATGTCTTTTCACCACTCACCTTACTACTCTGAAACCTTGGAAGGAAATACCTTTAACAATTAATCACCTCTTGAAATTACCATCCTGGTCCTTCCCAGACGGAGGATCTCAGTACAGTGGATGCTCGGGTTGTGAATGTGATCTGTGCGGGAGGCACGTTCGGAACCCACAGCGTTCGCAACCCGCAATGCCGTGTCTGCGCGCGCACGGGTCGTGATTCGGCGCTTCTGCGCATAGTGCCCAAACCAGGAAGTAACTCATTCCAGTACTTCCGGGGTCTGCGCGGTGCGCAACCTGAAAACACACAACCTGAAGCATCTGTAACCCGAGGTATGACTGTACAATATTCAAGATTTCTCCAAGCAACAGCCATTTCTAAAAATTAGCCATGGAGTATTCTGAATGACATCCGGCTATATTAAAGAACGGTTATGTTCTTCAGGTTTATGGCCTTCAACTAGACATCAGTCTCTCTCTCTCTCTCTCTCTCTCTATATATATATATATATATATATGTCGGCAGTTAAAATCTAGTCAGGTTGTAGGAAACATTGTAATAAGACTAAAAGGAAGCATCTTCATTCATTCATTCCTGGGTATGTTCACTTTGCCTGTAGGGATTGACTTAATCGTCAACAAAAGCCCTGTTTTGTCCATTTTGTGGAATCCAGAGTACAGTGACATTTTGGGCCAAAACTGTAGCTTTACGCTCTTTGACGAAATGTAAAGCAAATGGTTCAAAGGTCAACGTGGGTACCTTGATGGGTAGAAATGTCCAAGGATCATTAAACATACATTCCATCTGGCTAGCCATTCAGTTTTGGATATTATTTATCCATGCTCTTATGGCATTCTCCCATGAGATTAGGTTATAGCATTACATGGTACCAATTTGCTAAATAGAGGGAAAGCATATTAACAATTTACAAACCTTTACCTATTATTAACACTACCACAAAACTAATATATTGATTAGACTCAAGTCCTCATTCTTTTTATCCCACTGAATTTTCTAACCACACACCAGTGATGACACAAGACCTCAGGCAGCTGTTTTTCCTAACTGCTAATAGCATCTATGCAGGATGGCAAGGCACAAAAATACATGGCAGTTGGAAATAGACTTCTGCATTTTTTATGAGAAGCCTAACACTCTATATAACAGAACTGTGCTGACAACTGTGTATGGTGTACAGTTACAGAATTCAAACCCTAACTAACCCTGGAACATAAAGTTTGAGTAGCAAAGTGGCTAAACACAATCAGGATTGCATTGCACAAGTGTAAATCATGTGCCCTGTTTAAATCTCACCTCAGCCATGAACTTACTTAGGTGGCCTTTGGCTCACACTAGCCTTTTAATCTCAGCCCCTCATTTGCAATATAGGGCTAAGACAAAACCTGCTTCACATGGTCGAAAAAGCGTACAATTAGTTTTAAGGAGATGCAGATTCAAAACCCCCACTCACTGGGCCACTTTGTGCTAGTTGTGTTTCTCTCAGCCTTAACCCACCTCGCAAGGTTGTTGCAAATTAAAAAAGAGGGTTGTGGCAGGAAAACGACATATGCCATCCTAAGCAAGACTGAGGAACATAGCAGCCAACTCCTAGGGGCTGAGGTCTCTTTGACCCTCCCCCAAATTTTTTTTGAGAGGGGGCCAACCCCCCCCCATGTTTATGGGTACAGTATTGCCATTTAAATAGAGTGCATATGCCACATCTTGTGATCTGTTATGTGGGGCGGGGCTTACCTCCCCCCCAATATTTTATCCAAGTTTGGCACCCTTGCTGATGCAGGGTGGGCTATAGACATAGGAGCCATTTTAACGCACGGAATCTATGCTGCGACCCTTCCAAAAAGAATTCGGAAGCGACTAATACCCCCCTCCTCCCCACACTGACATATTTCTGAGTAGAGGTGATCAAGATTGCAAGATCAGCAACCTAAATTTCGGCGGCGGGGGGAGGGGGCGCGTGTACAAGGAAATCGTGCACGCGTAGGGGTGGGGTAGGAAAAAGATGCTCATTTGTTTATTTTTTTGTCCTGTCAAAAAGCTTCGCTTAAAATGGCCACTGCCGGGCCTGCTTCGCGTCGAGACCGAAGGCGGCTCTCCTTCAAGTGACCCAGAACCCCCTTCCTTCGCAGAGGGGCGCTTTCGAGACCAGCCACGATCACAATTAACGTTGCCAGGTGGTTTCTTGGGTCCTCCCCTCCCCCCGCCAAAGTCGCCCTTCCCTTAGTCGCCGTCCATCAATTCCCCGACGGGAAGCCTCCCCCCGCCTCAGCCAACGGAGCCTCCCCTCCCCCAGCTGCAGACGCCGCCGCCGCCCCTCCTCCCACCCCCACCCTGCCGTTCCAAGTTTTTCCCCCTCCGGCCACCGTACGTTCTTGTCCCCCCCCCCCTTAAGACGCCTCTCCCCCCCCACCCCCACCGCCGCCCATTTCTTTCTCCCTCGCGCGGCCTTCCTCACCTCTGCCGAGCTCCCCGCTCGCTTGGCAGCGCCCCCCGGCAGCTCATGGCCGGGCCGAGCCGTTTCTCGCAGAGCCGAAAGCCGAAAAGGCCAGCAGGCCCCGCTGTGACGCTCCCAAACAATCTCTCCTCAGCAGCTCGCTCCCTCCCTCGGCTCTCCGCCCTCCGCCTCCTCCTTCTTCTCCTCCACCACAAGCCGCCGCTTCCGGTGTGCACGCCTCCCGCGCAAGCGCACTGGCAGCACACGGAGAGCGCTCCCTTACCTCCCCCCCTCCCCAGCCTCCGAGACTCCTCAGCCCCGTAACCGGATTGGCTGCCGACGCCGAGGCCGTCCCCGCATGCGCCTAGTGTGATTGCACAGTATGCGGCGGGCGCATGCGCTATCACAAAACTCTTTTCTTTTACCCCGCCCTCTCGTCCTGCGCATGCGCGGGGGTCAATTTGTTTCAGTTCCGTCAGAGGGATACGTCGCAGTAATAAATAGCCTTCCTCATAATCATAGAGCTCAGCCTTGTACTTGTCTGCTTAGGTGTAAATGCCCCTGAGCTCAATAGATCCTGCTTCTAAGGGGAAACGGCGTAGGATTTGACCGCGGGGCTTCGACCCAGTGCCCGCTTACCTGGGAGTAAGGACCCACTGAGCAAAATGGGATTTACCTCTGAGTAGACATGTACGGGATTCCACTGCAGATGCGTTTTCATGTGGAATTAGACCCAGGAGGCAGGAAATACACACGGGCTCGAGCCACGGCAATGTTTTAAAACCACAAATATAACTCAGCAACATTTCCATATGTATGTAGACACACGCACACAATTTCTAATTGGGCCAACGTCTGCTTTCGAAGGAGCTTTGGGCTGGGAAGCAATTTAACTTCGCCTCGCTCCCGTGGTATTTCTGTGCGGATTCCCTTTCTGCTGTAGTTTCAGCTACACCCATTCACAAGTTCTTCTGTTAAGTCCGTTTGAAATACATGTCACAGGCTGGTCAGTGCTTCCCAAACTTGGGTCTCCAGCTGTTTTTGGACAATTCCCATTGCCTCCCCCCCCCCAATCATTCATCCTAGGGATGATGGGAGTTGTAGTCCAATCCCCCCAACAGCTGGAGAACCTTCATTCCTGAAATTTGGACAGTGAAATTTGGACAGTGGCTGTGGCAGGTTTGCCGCGGAGATTTTTGACGTTGTGTTTTGCTAATAAAGACTTGAGTAGGTGACACTTAATTAGAGTTGGTGTAAGTCACTCTCAGCCTGAACCTCCAATTGAAACGTGATCGAGCGGAGATGGTTATAAACTCCACTAAAGGCTGCAAGCTGGAGATGTTAACAACGGGCTACATTACACCCTAGGGTCTTGCAAATGTACTCTACCCCGCTGCAATGTGGGACAATAACGCCAGACTACATTGCAGTGTTGTCACGAACCACAGTCAGTGTGTAGCTTTATAACGCCGTATTTACTTGTAAAATACATACACACTTTATGGGAATGTGCCAATCATGAGATTGTGCGATCATATACATCACAAACAGCGCCCCATGCAGAACCAAAAGCAAATCCCCTTTAAGTATGAGTTTATTTGGCAACTTTCATGATTACTTGCTATGTTTGGTACAAATATGCACCTATGGAATATATTTTACGTCACTCATTCTATCCCAAGCTTATTATCATTTTATTATTTCGTGGTTTTATTCTTTTAGCTTGAATTTTGGTTTGGCTGGAAATAGAAAAATACACATTTATAGTCTGCTGCAGAATAAAGCTCCTGATATCAAACTGCACTAAGGTAAAGAAAATCCGGTTTTGCATAAGCCATTTTAAGAAGCACTTTGCTGCCTGGAGATCTCTTATCATGGCATGATGCGACTCATGTGACTAATGGCCAGGCCAATGCGCAGCTGTTTCAACAAGAGCAGCTTTATTTAACCCCACTTTCAGTTTCAATGGTTACTACGGAAAGTCTGCTAGCAGCAGCTGGGAAGAGCGATGCCGAGAACATTTGACACAGCTCATCGCCGGTTTGTGGAGCTGCAGGATTAGACCTTCATTGATCGAGGTACGGGGGGGGGGTGGAGTGGCGTGGAGTTTGCACAAGCCCTGAGGTAGTGAGATCTGATTTAAACAGATTTAAACTAAGCAGTTCTGTCTCTGATCTCGGCTATAAGGCAACCTGGGAATTAAGAAGCTAAACTTGCTTTCCTTTTCGCCACTGGCAAATGAATGGAAGCGTCGCAAACTTTCGTTTCGTGATTGCGGGGCGTGGGGTGTTTTGTTTCCGCTTTGCAAGTTGAAAGAACTGCTCCTTCTTGCTAGAAGCTTAAAATTCCCATCATTTAAGTCTAGGAATAATACTACTTTTATATGAAAGGAGACAATCACGGTATTGAACAAAGGAAGCTTCCCTTCCACTACATCTCCCTACCAGGAAAAGCTGGATTTTTCTATGTTTTACAGTTAGATAATCAACTCACTCCAGTCCATTAATTTAAATGGAAGTACAACTCTCTGTTCATGAAAACAACACCCCTGTTTCAGCCCTATTGTACCAATTGATTAAACCCTGGCTTTGCTCACTGGTGGAGGAAGAGGTGTGCAGGGGGAGCGCATTGCCCCCGGCAGCTGCTGGCACTGAACGCCACACCCCCAGGACACACGCCATGCCCCCAGGACACTGGCTTTGCTAAACTGTAGTTGGACTGTACGTGCCTTTTCACTAGTACAGTAGAACCTCAGATTATGTTACCCTCAGGTAATGTAAACTTCGGGTTGCAAAAGCGGCAAACCCAGAAGTGTTTCTCCACATGCGCAGAAGCGCTCTACCATGCCACGCGCATGCGCAGAAGCGGTCCCTCCGGTTGCGAAAACCTTGGGATCCGACTGGAGCTCCGGAACGGATCCCATCCGCAACCACTGTACCACTGTAGTAGGAAGAATTGTGTTCCTTGGAGTACAGTGGTACCTCGCAAGACGAATGCCTCGCAAGACAAAAAACTCGCTAGACGAAAGGGTTTTTTGTTTTTTGAGTGAGCTGCTTCGCAAGACGATTTTCCCTATGGGCTTGCTTCGCAAGACGGAAACGTCTTGCAAGTTTGTTTCCTTTTTCTTAACACCATTAATACAGTTGCGACTTGACTTCGAGGAGCAACTCATAGAACGCGGTGTGGTAGCCTTTTTTGAGGTTTTTAAAGACTTTGTCAATTTTTGAAGCTTTTCCAAAGCTTTTCCCGACACCATGCTTCGTAAGACGAAAAAAATCGCAAGACGACAAAACTCGCGGAACGAATTAATTTCGTCTTGCGAGGCACCACTGTATTTTTTATGGAAGAAATGTATCTTAAAACTATAAATATGACCTTAAGAAATCACAACTAATCTTAAAAGTCAAAACTAATTTCATTTCCATGTAAAATGGAAATATATTATTATTATTATTATTATTATTATTATTATTATCATTATTATATCATTATTACAACTCACCATTTTCCCAGATCGGGACTCAAGGTGACTTACAGATAAAATAGAAAAACCAAAAACATAGTCATTAAAAATAATTAAACCCTGATTGAATTAAAACAATATAAAAAGATCCATTAAAATACAGAAATGAAACTGGTAGCAGATGGGACACACAAAATACAGTGGTGCCTCGCAAGACGAAATTAATTCGTTCCGCAAGTCTCTTCGTCTTGCGGTTTTTTCGTCTTGCGATGCACGGTTTCCCATAGGAATGCATTGAAAATCAATTAATGCGTTCCTAGGGAAACCGCCTTCAGACCAGGTCCGGGGACAGACTGTCCCCGGACCTCTTCTGAAGGCTGGGGGGGGGGACAAGGGCTTTTCTTCCCACCCCCAGCATTTTAAAAAACCCTGGGACAGCGGAGGACTTCTCCGCTGTCCGGGCGATCTTAAAATGCTGGCGGGCGGCATTTTAAAATCGCCCCGGGACAGCGGAGGACTTCTCCGCTGTCCGGGGCGATTTAAAAGCCCCTGGGAAGGCAGGCAGGGGGGACAAAGACTTTCGCCCCCCGCCCGCCTTCAGAAGGTGTTCCCGCCCCCCCCCCCCGGCCCGGCTTCGCAGCAGCGCTACGAAGCCCGGCGGCTGGGGCAGGTGTTCCCGCCCCCCCCCGCTTCGGAGCAGCGTTCCGAAGTGGGGTGGCTGGGGCAGGTGTTCCCGCCCCCCGCCCGGCTTCGCAGCAGCGCTTCGAAGCCCGGCGGCTGGGGCAGGTGTTCCCGCCCCCCCACCCCGCTTCGGAGCAGCGTTCCGAAGCGGGGTGGCTGGGGCAGGTGTTCCCGCCCCCCGCCCGGCTTCGCAGCAGCGCTACGAAGCCCGGCGGCTGGGGCAGGTGTTCCCGCCCCCCACCCCGCTTCGGAGCAGCGTTCCGAAGCGGGGTGGCTGGGGCAGGTGTTCCCGCCCCCCGCCCGGCTTCGCAGCAGCGCTACGAAGCCCGGGGGCGGGGGCAGGTGTTCCCGCCCCCCCAGCCCGCTTCGGAGCAGCGTTCCGAAGCGGGGTGGCTGGGCAGGTGTTTCCGCCCCCCCACCCCGCTTCGGAGCACCGGGAGAAGCGATCTCCCCGCAGCCCCTTGCTTCAAAAGAGGTCCGGGGGCAGACCTCTTTTGAAGCAAGGGGCGGTGGGGAGAAGCGATCTCCCCGCCGCCCCTTGCTTCAAAAGAGAAGACCCGCTGTCCCCGGGGCAAGCTTCGTTTTGCGAAGCAAGCCCATAGGGAAATTCGTCTTGCGAGGCAACTCGAAAACGAAAAAACCTTTCGTTTTGCGAGTTTTTCGTCTCGCGAGGCGTTCGTCTTGCGGGGTACCACTGTACAGGCATCACTTTACTATGCACCTGGTATAAGTTCCATTAGAATTGTTCCTACACTCACTCCTTTCCTCATGAAGGGATGTAGGAAAGTTTACCAATCCATGCTGTCTTATTTTCCTCTGCAGGCAGAAAAATGGCAGGTATCACTTCAGGAGTAGAAACTTGCCCCTTCTGCAAAAAGCCATTTAAACGGCTCAAGTCTCACCTGCCTCACTGTAAGATGGCGGGAGATGCAGACTCAAGGAATGTTTTGCCTCCCAGCAAGAAAGCTGGGAAAAAGAAAGAGCAGATCAAAAGCACAGAAACTACCTCCAAAAAAGAAAATAAGAAAAACAAAGCAAAAGCAACAACACATTCCTTGCAACCACAGG